ACATGAACTCTGTGGCCTTCCTTCCAGTACCTACAGGCACTATCGTCAGCTGCAAACTGTGTCTTACTTAAAACTAGAGGTGATATTCCAGACAGTAACAAACAATAAAAATATAAGTCGACACTAAATTTCAGAGTTGGTGCCAGTGTATTTCACGAAGAATTTGCAGTTTTGTTTTCGAGATGGTTGCCCTGAAAAAGAAAGAAACAAAGAAAATGTAGTAATGCTCATGTTAAACTAGCAGATTTCACAAAAACCTCACAGATGTTTTTCTTTTTGAAAATTAAATTTCATATTCTGCATCAAAAACAGAAATTTTTAATAAAACTTAAGCATACCAAGAAGGAAAGTCTTAGTGATCAATCCATTATTAAAATGACACTTTATGGTCTACAGTTAAGAAATTATAACAAGACAAGTGACATGCTCAGAGAAAAACAAATATTTACTTTGCAGCACTATAATCACTGAATTACATTATCAACATCACTATATGATGGCTCATCTACTCAGCCTTTAAGTTAAAGCTACGAATTACTGTTATCTGTAACGTCAAGATAAGACAAATTTTGAATTGAGTTCACTGGTTTCATCTAGTAATGTGTTCTTGTGTCTAAATCTCTGGTAATGAATAAAATTACTTTTTCTTAGTTAGAACTGGCTGGTCTTTTGAATGAATTGAATGAGCAGCAGACAAAAAGCATACTCATATTTGTTTCCTGTCACTGAGGATCATGAATGGACATGCGTTTCTTTCTGTTGCTGCTACGAGACGCTAAGTGTTCCAAGTGGGGTGTCTGTTGAGCTCACCTGTTTCATCAACTTGAAACAAAATAAAAAACATGTTCAAATAAAAATTAATCTCATTGAGCCTGACACCTCAGATGGGGCAGGGTCTGTTTGCCACTAAACATGCTAAATTGTTTGCAGCTCCTGTCACTGATTATCCTAACAGCTGGCCAAATTTTAAGTTAGTCTGCTGCTTGAAGTCATCGATTTCCAACCCATGGTCTGTGTCCATTTCTGCTAGCCTATTGACAACTGAACAAATATGCTGTGTGTTTCATGAGCAGGCTCCATCGTACTTGCCGCAAAGTTGCCGTATTCGCGTCTGTCCCGAGACTGAAGCTACTGTATATGTTTGTAGTCAGCAGAAAACGAACGCACAAAAAGTGCGGACGGATATATATCAGCTATATGGAATCATGGACATGCAATGATAACTACAATTTACTTCCTTTTGGAGCACCATTTAGAAAGAGCATAAAATTGTGTCACAGTCTCGCGTGAAACATGTCTTTCTATAAAACTTTCTGAAAGTTATTGATTACATGTTTCGAACTATAAGATCATCATCAGGTGTTTTAAAATTATAAATTATAAATGAAGAAAGTGCTGTGCTTCCATATTGTGGTTGTTGGTCATTACTTTGTGGTCCCTTCTATGCACACACAGCATAACACAACAGGCAGAACAACCCGCCACTTCGTATATGCATGCACATGGAAGGGACCGCACAGTAACGATGAACAACCACAACATGGAAGTACAGCAGTTTCCTCATTTATAATTTATAAATGTAGAACACCTAATGATGACCCTATAGTTCGAAACGTGTAGTGAATAACTTTAAGTAAGTTATATAGAAGGACGTGCTGCACGTGAGACTGTGAAACCATCTGCTACTAAATGAAGTGCAGCAGGGTGCTGCAATATAGTACTAGTTACAAATGACAGCTCATGACCAGGTCTGCACTGATACTCACTCCTTCCTGTTCAGCTTTCTTCATTCATTTCTCCACTTTATTTTTGCCAGGTCCCTTTCCATGAAATTCATGAGACAGGTATCTGAAATTAGAAAGAGAGACAACATTAAAGTCACTGTATTTTAGGATCTTACAGAATGTGACCATGTTTCCAGGTAACACATAACATCCTTTTGTCCTGAAGTTCCAGCCAGAAAATAGGGGTATGATCCATATATATAGTTCAATCTGTTATTTTGTGAAATTATAAAAATATGTAACATTCTGTTTTCCAGCACAACTTACTCATACAGCCAACAACAAGAAACGGGCATGCTACAGCCCCTTAAAGTCATAGAGATTGAAATGATTAATGCAGAATATTTTAGTAAAAGTACAATGGGACTAATATTTTTGAGGCATGTTTCTCCTTAATTAATGCAACCTATCTGCAAAATGAACCACTCTGCCACATTCTATGCATACACAACAAACTGTATCAAGCACAAAGTATTTACACACACAAATTTCACAATATGTCGGCTAGTTACAAACTGAGATACACAGAATAGGAGAAAAGGAAGTCAAAACAACACGTATATATAACAAAATGTTCTACTGAAAGCATCTGAGGTGGAAGACAATCTCACCCCCCATGATAGGGTAATCACGATAGTGCTGGTCAGCAGAGGGACCCTACAATTTAACATGGGAGAGGGGTATCCTTTGTATTCCCAAAGTTTTACCTCTGGTAGATGTGATGGCATCACCTGTGAGCAGAAAAATCTGTACACATGTGCGAGTGAGGACTGAACTCAGAACCTTCTGAATGGGTATAACAGCTTACCTCAGGACCTTTCTCTTAAGGACCTACTTTAAGTGGCTCTAGTGTTGCTTGCAACTCAGTCGCCATGTTAATATGGCTGCTGGTAGACAACTGAAAGAACATGGGGAGTGTCATGATGACAATGCAGAGTTTCACATAAATCTATCAGTTGGTTCACACATTACGGTGAGGACAGCACGTATGGATGATAATCACAGTAGTCCCATAAACTTGCCCATTTCCACTGAAAAGATGCTTCCTCCTTGGATTTTTTTCTTAAAATGGCAATTACTGTGAGAACTTTTTTCCCCTAAAGAACGTACTACCATTGGACAGGCTACCCTCTACAGTGCGACCTATCTTAAAAACAGATATGTTGTTAGTTTCGCTAACCTGGAAGTCTCCTTTACATTAAGAAGATGTCCATCATCATCTGTGTAGTCGAATTTAACATCTGGTTTGTAGCCCTCCTCTTCCTCTCTGAAGTCTGAGGTCAGACCACTGTACTGCTCGCGATGCCCAAACTTTTCATCATCTCTGAAACAATAAAGCAATACTGTATATTAAATTCCTTAATTAGACTTGCTTGCTTACTTCGTCCTGTCTTGACCATCATGTACACCTCCCTAATACCTGAGTGGGTCAATCCCAACAGACCAGACGAGATTTGCAATTCAGTTACAGAGGAAATGAGAAAGTATTCAAAGCTCATATATTCTTTAACCTCCAAAATTTCCTACTCTATTCCATAATCAAGAGAAAGTGGCCGATCCTTGTGCCCATGACAACTCTCTTCCCTAAGGCCTGCTGCAGAGAAGACTTGACAGCTACAGGGCAACTTAGGAGACTCAGTCTGCAGCCAACTACTCATGCTAGTTTCTCGCTTGCTGATTTTTATACCCTGAAGATGGAGGAGATACATTCCTTCAAAACGTAGGTTTACACAATATCTATACAGTGCCACATCCCAGAAGACGAAATTCTTCATGAATGTCATTCATTACATACCAAGACACTATACAGAAAAAAAAAAAGTAAAGTTATCCCTGTAACAGACCATCGAGGTTCCATATTTTCTAGACAATTGGCTCACAGATGGAGGTGAGGCTGTCAGCCTTATGCACCAAGCTATCCTTGTTAACAGACCATGGAGGCCCATAGGGTTGTGAGACATTAAGTCTCCCACACTTTATAGACAACTGGCTCACCGATGGCAGTGAGGTTGTCAGCCTAACGCACCGGCCACACTTTACACCCCACAAAAATTCCTCATACTCATTTCTGTTAAGACGCTGAGTCGACCCCAGGGCCATAGTGCATCTGGAAGGATTAGGTCAATTGAAAAAAAATTAATGACCTCGTCAGGACTTGAACCTATGACCTTCCAACTTGGAGCATAGTGCCTCAACCAACTATCCTACTGCCACTAATATTAAACAGTAATGATTACTGTGTTTGTATTAAAACCCCTAACAAAACTGCAGTATACGATTAAATATGGTACAGCATGTCTGAAATCCTTAAAATATAAATGTACAATTAAAACTAATACAAAAGTGTCAGGGTCTCTTAATTTGAATCAGCTTATGCTGTACATAAAGAATCCACTAGTGACTCACCAATCTCAACTTAATTCCAAGCTCCACGTTTGCCTTCTTCCTGACGTTTCTTCTCTTCAATCATTTCCCTCTCAAAGCCCTGTAATGTAAGTTTTGTACGAGATTAGCAAAATGCAAATGTGCAGCCAAAAAATTACCAATTCATTACCTTGAGATAGACTGAAATCTGGGCTGCTTACCCACCAACCACTGTGTAATAAATTACTGCACTGTAAAGTACTGACTATTCTGTGTAGGATTTGAGCTTCTGCCAGCAGTGGTTTTGAAGAGTTCTGTCATCTGGGATATAATGCCATGTAGTCTGTCAAAAGTCAACAGACATTTTGGAGACACATGTCACATCTTCAGGGTTGAAGAATAAACCAAGCAAGAAAACAGCACTGGCAGGTAACAAAGCCAACCTTCCTACCTGCTTCATGCTGGCTTACTGTTTGGTTTATTCTTTGACACTGAAGATTTATATGACATGTTCCCCAAGAAATTCGGATGATACGCCAGAAGACAAAATTCTTCTGACTATACTGATCATCTTGAAACATCTTTGCCAAAATATATCTTTTTAATATCACAATATGTTTTAAAGTTACAGTTCTAATACAAACATACTCTCATTCTGCCAAGCAATGAACACCTGCCAAACTAATTCTGAGTTTGCAGTGAGAATACTGTGACAATTAACATTATGAACCTAAGAGAAAACAATTCGCTTTGCAATAAATCAAATTACAAGAACTTGTTGGTTTTTCATTTAGCCATGTTCTGAGCTATTTATTCATCCCTATTTCAATTTCACATGTAATTCCTAGTAGTGACTTTTCTACCCTTGTGTCATGCAGAAAAAAATAAGATATGAAAAAAGCCTGGATTGAGATTCTTACAAAGGAGATTAAGAAAAGCACTACATTCTGGGAAGTAACACCCTGTAAGTCAACTGACATTCCTTCCAAATGCTTATGGGCTTTACCACTTTATTCCAGAGGACACTATTTGTCAAGAAGAAGAAGAAAAAGGTTCTACCACTTCAACTATCACATTCTTATTGTATAACGAGTGCTTTCATTTCTAGGAACTTTCATTGGATGTTTCCAGTTCTGTACTCAGTTCAGTAATTTATATATCCATTATCATGAAATTCAACTGTAATTAAAATATTTTCAAATTCTGTTGCAGCTGCAGTAAATAACTATACATGGGCAGTGGGCTGTATCTAGTCTTGACACATGCTAAACCAAAGTGCGCTTACAAAATCTGCAGATGGTTGTATTGCACTCAAAAGTAGTTCCTGAGCGTCCTCATCTCTGTTGCCAGCCAGACAATACGTGGCGATGTCACCCAACATACGGCAGAATTCTGCTGTAGCATTAAGCACAATGGAACCACCTTCCGTGTTTCCTTCCGAGTTTCTCTCCAGTACTGACTCTGCCACCTACAAACATCACAAATCACAAAGATCTAAATTATGTAGCTATACATCATTCTGTTTTTCAGTATCCACAAATGCAAATCTGTCCTTATGCTTAATAAGTTATACACTAACTGGAGGTGAGTGGCCAGCTCCATGCCCTCCCACACCCGGGGAAAGTGCCCCTTGTACCTATATGACAGAAGGCCATAACAGGTCTCAATAACCAAAATACGAGAAAGGATGATAGCATAAAGAAAGATAAAGCTATCCCAGCAACAGGCTGTGGAGGCCCATGGGGGTGAGACAGTGAGGCTTCCATATTTTCTTGGCAGTCGGCTCACGTACAGCGGTGAGGTTGTCATCCTTACATTCCTGTCACCCTTTACCCCCAGGACGATCCCTGGTACTCATTTCTATTAGAGGCTGAATCCACCCCATAGTACAGCTGGAAGGATTCAGTCAATTTAAAAATCCAATTACCTCACTGGGAATTGAACCCGCAATCTTCTGGTTCATAGGAGAGTAAGAAAGGATGATGATGATGATGATGATGATGATGACTTAAATGTGATGATATGATATACTGATTTGAGGCCCACCACAACAGACTGTGAGATAAACAATTTAACAGCCCTCAGGTTAAATCAGAACACAGTTTCTCCACAGTACAATGGTTTTGTACAGTAACCAAAGAGGAAACATCATAATGAACTTTACTACAAAGTTCTGCGGACAGCCTATTACATACTATAACTGGAACATACACCATATGTTTGTGTAGGAACTAAATATGGCACAGGATTCTGTAGCTAGGGGCAGTTTCATCACCTCCCACCAGCTATCCATAGGGCTGCTCCTCTCCCGTCTCAGGCAGGTGAAGGGAAGATGGCCTTGACTGATCAAGAGAAATGTCCCCTACTACAGCCAAACATTTGTGAGGATTAAAAAGGAAATCTTCCGATGTGATGTACCTTTTCTATATTGTTCTCCGACTCTGTAACAGCCGCCTGCAGCTTCAGTTCGCTGTCATCAGGCTCAGTCTTGATGTTGGACAGTACGTCTTCTGGCGCTGAAAGTAGTTTCAGATTATTAATAACATTCAAAACTGCTCCTGCACCACATTTCTTTTCATTATTTCGCAACACACTTTGTAGCAGAAACTATATATTATCAAACGGCTGATCAGAAAATAATGTATTCAAAAGCCTTGGTGGTCGTCACCTGATTAGGGATATAAGCCCAGCCAGCATTTGCCTGGAGGTACTGTGAAAAACCATGAAAAACCTACGTCAGGTTCGCCAGATGTTCCAGCTGAGATTCATGAACACATGAAGCCAGTTCCCTTTTTTGAGTACCAATAATGGTGAATTCTCGTTGTGATGCAAGTAACATGCGTCTGTAGTTATGTACTTACGGTCCTATTGGGCGTATTCAAGTTCATCTCTTCTTGTAGCAGTTCAATAATTTTTTTGTACTGAACTGAGTTCTATTAAGGTCTTTTGTAGTTCTACTTTAAATTTATCACAACAAGCACTCGTTACTTCACTTGTTTCACTACTATTATTGATGAAAACTGGAGTGTCATCAGCATTAACCACTGAACGAACCGCCATTTTGGATATCAAAATCGGGAATTACTTTTTCATCTCTGAATAATTTACCACCAAAATTATTCAACTTGCAAAATAAATTATGCTCAACATCACACAGCTCTCGTATGCCGAGTTCCATTAAAATACAAAAACAGAAACGGAATTAATTTTGACCTTTGAACAAAAAAAATGAAATATTTGTACATTTTTAACTTCCTTGATAGTTGAAACTAACCTCCTCAGATAAAACATATTTGTATATCTCTAGTTACATAAATAAATACATGCAACAGGGATATTTTACTTATAATTATCACCTTATAATTACGACCTCAAGTCTGAAGTATACGGCTATGATATAATTGTAACATTGTTGGTTATTCTTTGTACCAGTCTTTATTTTCACTTTGTATAGCACTAAATCAGGCCCGTGAAACTCCCATGTTATTTGTTGGCAACATGGCCGCCATGACACCTCGGTGCAATGCTTCTGCCATCTATACCCTCATAGAGGAACTAAATTTAAAATGGCCTCCTGGGCCGAGAGCACAATCGGTAAGAAGGCATGTTATTTTACCAACTATTTTGGCCGCCATGACACCTTGGTGCAATGCTACTGCCATCTATACTCCTCATAGAGGAACTAAATTTAAAATGGCCTCCTGGGCCGAGAGCACAATCGGTAAGAAGGCATGTTACTTTACCAACTATTTTGAGTGCTCTCCCCTCTGCCCCTTCCAATGCTTTTCTTCGCCACTACCATTAATACTTTTACAACCAGATCTCTTGTACTGCAGTTTCTTTCCTTCTGGCCTTCCCACCAATATCCTACATGCATTCCTCGCCTCCCCCATTCGTGCTACATACCCTGCCAACCTCATCCTCCTGGACTAGTGATAATCTGTGTTCAATATCACTAGTCGAGGAGGATGAGATTGGCAGGGCATGTAGCACGAATGGGGNGTACAAGAGATTAGGTTGCAAATTATTTATCTGGAGAAAGTTTCTCACCAGTGCCTGGAAAATCATAACCTTTCTTGCACATGAAACACCTCTCTAACCAAAGGCACTGAACATTGTGAACTGTGACAAGCATGGAATAGTTGTATTCAGGAAAGCTGAAGGTGGGGAAACTTGAAAGAAAATTGTTTCCATAATTTTCTCATAATGTACACTTGAGAGCCATACAGAACAGTTTTTTCGGTCACATTTAAGTATTATAAATCATATGTTGTGAGAAACAATACTCATGTTCCCATTTATTATTATTTTCATTCAAATGATGGAATTCGGGAATGTGAAATACACTCTTGTCAACATGATTAAGACTGCATTTAAAGATATAAGAAAATGTGATATATTCATCTTCACTAGTTCAGTACTGGGCAGAATAATATGGCAGAAATAATAACATATCTTAAATAAATGTAATGAATACTGACAATCTGGAATCCATTCATATTCCAGTTCAGTAATGGAAAGGTTTATATGGCAAAAGTAACATATCTTACAAAAAATGTAATGAATCCTGAAAATCTGGTATCATTCATATACCGGTCCAGTAATGGAAAGGTTTATATGGCAAAAGTAACATATATCTTACAAAGAAATATAATGAATACTGACAATCTGGTATCTATTCATATTCCAGGTCAGTAATGGAAAGATATAAACATTTTCACTTCAGTATTGGATAAATTTAATGACACAGGTAAAGAAATTACATATAGTCCTACCCACATCCAATCCTGATACTGATTCTGCTTCTCAGAGTTTCACACTGAGGTGGATAACCTGAACTTTGCAAGTCAGTTACGAAGTAATGCCTTATATTCTCTGCAAAATAACTTTTTGTCGTGCAGAACACACAATCTTACAGCAGAAGTGCCCTGTGTGATCTGTAAGGTCTCCACTATAGTGTTCCTTGTGATAATCCTTTGTAGGTTACACAATTTAATACCAGATTTCGCAAAAGCGAAAACATATTTGTATCTGTAAGTCATGTTAAGCATGATAATGATGAGCAATAAAAAAAGTAAAAGTAAAGTTATCCCTGTGCTTAGCTAATTAAGCACTGTGCCATGAAGGTATATGGGGAGAGGATTTTAATTTTGAGAAGTTAAATCAGTTTGTAGTAGAATTAAAATTCTAGTGAGGAAGTTAGGTAATGAATTTTATTTTTATTTTCATGTGATAAATATTTAATATTTATTTTATGTATTTACAGAATAAACAAGAACAATTATGAGGAGTTAACTGTGGACATGACCAAGAGAAGTCTGGTTTTGGATCACAGCAAATCATCATGTGAGGAGAACTTCATACCACGCAAAAAGGTGAAGTTTGCGTTCACATACAATATTCACTACATCAACTTTGTATTTTTCTGTAATATTTGTAATCATTATGGTGTTCTGTTTATTTTAAAAATCGTTCAAATACCAAGTCCCAGACTGATATTTTCACCAGTTATCGAATACATTTGCTCACATGGTGATGTCTGTGTTGTCTTGTGACATTGGTGGTTACCAATGATTTTGAGGAAGACGGTTCATCTTGAATATTGAATCCTGAGGATGGAAGTAGCATGTTTCGCTGAAACACTGGGACCAACCTTCCAGATTACAATGTGGTGTTGTAAGATAGATATCACAGAATGAATCTTCAATGCCATGAAAACTTCAAACCATACAAATACGTTGTGCGTTCAAGTTCTAAGGTCTCCGATTTTTTTCTCACACAATAATCATACAAAAAATTTGAAACTTCTGTCACTTTTCAACATAATCTCCCTGCAGCCGTACACATTTTTCACAACGTCGACGCCAAGATTCCATGGCCGCTGCGACCGCTTTTGTAGGAGTCTGTTTTGACCACTGGAAAATTGCTGATGCAATAGCGGATTGAAAAACGGCATCCATGTCTCATCCATTGTCACAGTTGATGAAAAGAAAGTCCCATTCATGCCTTCATCATTGCCATGCATGCAGCCTTGTGGTCATCCGCCAAAATTCGTGGAACCCACCTGGAGGACACTTTCCGCATTCGCAGGTCTTCATGCAGGATTTTGTGCACAGATCCCACGGAAATGCCAACTTTGGGGGCGATGTTTTCCACACTCAATCGGCGATCCTCCAAAACAACTTTCTCAACTCGCTCGACCATGTTGTCAGACCGGCTGGTGCGAGGCCGAGATTGTTTTGGTTCGTTGTCACACGACGTTCGGCCTTCTTTGAACTGTCGCGCCCACGAACGCACATTTTTCACATTCATGACACCATCACCACATGTCTCACTCAACTGGCGATGAATTTCAATGGGTGTCGCACCACGCAAGTGGAGAAAACGAATGATTACTCGCTGTTCTTGTAACGAAAACGTCGCCATTTTAAGTATCAAAAACACTCCTCACACTCGCCGCTACCACTAGAGTTCTGTGTGCCGTAGAGTTCTGCCATCTCTGTCACGCATTCACAAAGAGTTCACACGTATTTTAAACAAAACCGCATGTGTCTATCTGCTCCCAGTCCTGAGAAAAAAAATCGGAGACCTTAGAACTTGAACGCCCCTTGTACATATCTCTGTTTCTCATTACATGTTCATTATTTAAAGGCCAACTGAATATTTAATAAGATGTAAGTTATATATGTCTGCATATTTTTTCTTTGTTTCAGGGTGAAATCATAGTATTGTTCATCAAAATGGAAGAACCAAGAGACTTTGTAATGTGGCTGCAAGTGGCCAAGGTAATGGTTCAGACATGCTGTGATGTTGGTAGAGTGAGCACACCCTCCTCTCTTCCTTCTGCCTCCAAACACATCCTCCTCTTCCTGCTTCCTTTTCCACCCTCTTCCTCCTAGTCACCCTACCTCCTCCACCCCATATTCCCTCCTCTTTTACCTCCTCCTTTCCCATTCTCCTTCTAACATCTACCACATCATGCTCTTCCTCATGCCACTTCTTTCCCCTATTTCTTCAAACCTCCTCCTCCTGCCTCCTGCTCCTCTTCACCCTACCTCCTCTGATGAATAATGGTGATAATGTATCTCTAGAGAGCAGCACCTCGTAGTGCTTACTTATCCTACCGTTTTTAGTACCCCATTATATATGTACTGTATATTTGTAGAACATTAAAGTTATTGAAATTAGATATTTGTAACACAGCAGAACATAGTGAGTGTGCACAGAAGTTGCTTTCTTCAGATTTTGCTCTGTGTTCAGTTATGATATAAATCCCTGTGCTGATGTTTCACTGGGCTTCATAGAACACTCACATAACATTATTCTGCAAATTGTCTCAGTGCTTCAAGATCTGGGACCTTGATGTTCGAGGTTATCACAGGAGTATTTGGAGACTGCACATGAAGGGCAGCAAAATGCTTCTCATTGGAGTGTCAAACTCAGAGTATTTGTAAGTAAGACTTCTAGAAACACAAATATTAATACTGTAGTGCTCATATGAGTCTCAGTGAAATGTTCAATACCTTTGAGGGTCCATCATCATCAGATGATGTACAGTAAATTGATGTTTATCTGGTGTCCAGGCATCCAACTGGCAAAAATTCTAAGAAAATTAGAAAGTCATTAGAAAACTTATGAGTGTATTTCCACCCACTACAATTATGTGATATTTTTCCCAGCTTCCACTAGCATCACCCTCTATCATGCAGACGGCATTTCAGTAAAGGCTAGCTGAATTTGTGATCATGTGAATTCAAAATCTTTCACCTGTCAATCTGCAGTATTGTATTGGAAGAGTCCATGCAAGAACTAAAGAAAGAATGTGATATTTTGATTATAAACTGGGTTTCTGCAAGAACTTTTCTGGTGAAAACAGCAGATTCATGTAACTAGCAGACCCCATTCTCCATACATGCCAGGTAATTATTGTTTACTCTACTAATTAATAGGAAAGATTCATCTTCAGTATAAATGAAGATTTTTTAAATACTGTAACGTGTTTGGAGTAGGTACTTCCATTGTAACACAATAACAGTGAGCCATTGTGTGGAGAATGCCAAATTTCCCCGGAGATGAACACTCGGTATGTAACAGCAGACTGTCGAAACAGTAGAAACGGAACTGTGAGAATGGTGTCTGGTATCCAGTCCGCATAACCCCTATATAAGCAGAGCCAGAGACAACGCAGACAAGGAGGAGACAATCTTGGGATAGCCGCCGCCAGAGACAGTTGAGATCCAACCATGGCCAAGGATAGTTGAGTCACTGCATTGGAGTGTCGGGCCAGGAGTCAAGTGATACCGCAAGTGGTAACAACTGTAAGGTGTGTAAGAGTGAGTGTCCAATAAAGATTCGCTAAATCCAAGACCCACGTGGAGTTATTTGTCGTGTGACATACCAAACACGTGACAATATATTTACAGTATGAAAGTTATGCCTGTGGGACCATTCATTAGTTTCTTAGCAAATATGTTAACAAACCACTGATCACTCATGTGGCTGTGTGGAAGCAGCTCTGTTTAAATCAGTAGTGTACTAAGACATGTCAAAAAAGTGGTACATCACAATCAATCATGGAAAAAATCCTTAGTGAACCATTAATGAATTGTGTGGCTGTGTATAAAAAGCTCCATTTACATCAGTGATTCACTAAGATGTGGCAGAAAAGTGGCACAACACAAATTAACATGGAAAAAGAGGTTTGGCCTTTTGTACTGGGTTGAGGTAAGCTATTTGTAATTCCCTGGCTGCATTACTGTAGTCAAATGAGACTTCTCACAAGAATTTGTAAGATCTGTAAACACTCTGAAGCTCTTATCACATCAGAAAGTGACATATCTTCCTCTTTATTCTGGAATACATGAGTATGAACAAATTTGTTCACACTCATGTAGCTACTAACGGACACTGAACCATATCTGCGACATTGAGTAGTGATGTTTATTAGAGAAGGAATGTTACTGTAAAACTGCTGAAGAATCCTATAAGTTTGTACTTCTCAAACTGTTTCATGTTGTAACAAAAATGGATATTGCTTTGTTCAAAAGAATGAAATCCAGGAAAAACTGTCATCTTATGTTTACTGCAGTTTTGTGAAATTTGAATATACAGCTGCTTCAGGAGTAGGATTTTTCAGCAAAATAAATTTTATTTTCATATTGAATAAAAGTTTCTTCTGATACCAGATATGTCCATACAATATACATTATTTGACACACACTCCTTTTCCTCTGTTCTGCCCATATTTTATCAGTTAAGAGTGAAGAGATATCATACAGATGGTTGCTGATTGTTCTCCACAAAATGCTGGAGCCTTGAAGACTCACAATGCTACAGGCCTACACAGCCTGTTAATGGGATAGATTTAGCTTTCTTCCTTTTTTTTTTTTAACCAGTATGGACTATCCAAGCTTTCCATGCTCCTTAACCTGGAAAGATACCCCCACCCTCAGTCTTGTAGCCAGAGCCTAGGCTAGCTAGCATTAGTGTGACATATTCAGTCTGACTTGAACCCACTCTGAACTGGACAGCCAGGGCATTAGGCTAACTTGAGACTTGCCTGGGATAGCCAAATCAGACGAGCAAGAAACCTAGCTAAGGCAAGAGAAAAGCCTAATATGGCCGTGTTGCCAGGCTTAAATAGCCCATTACTCCCATCCCTTGCCCACAGCAAGCAGGCCAAAATTTATCTAGCCCAAGAACAGTCTAATTATCATAGAATTTAAGCTCTGATGGAGAGCTGAAGTGGCTAGATTAATGACTGTGAAACAAGCATATATATTCCTGAAGAATAATTTAGCCTGCTCATTGCTGCACATGACAACTAGCCTGAACACAGTGTAGCTATCCAGGCTATTCAGCTGAGACCTAAATCTTAGCAATATATAAAAGCAGTTCAAAACCTGCCTCCATTAGCAGATAGTGTCATAATCCAGATGACAGGGGTCACGAAAGGCCAATTGCCAAACCACGTGTCATCTAGACCAGTGGTTATCAAACTGTGGGGTGCGACCCCCAGGGGGGACGCGAAGGGCTTGAAAGGGGGGCGTAACATACTTTCCTACAGATAAAAATTAAAACTGCACTAAATCAATTAGAAAAGTAACAGAAAATAAAAATACATATACAAAAACTTTGGATGAGTACAGGCTTTAATTATCATGAATTTCAAAATAACTAATAATTATTCTCTTTACTGGCAATTATAAAACGTGTATGCCAGAGACAGCGTTGATAGTTCAGCGGCAGCCACATCCTCTGAAATCTAGACTTTTTAAAATGCTGTGTGAGGAAATGGGTGCTGAACACACTGCTCTGTTGTTTCTTAGTGATGCTCGATGGCTTGCAAGAGGCAAGGTATTAAAGAGAATGTTTAAGCTGAGGCATGAGGTGTTCTGTTTTTTAAGTGGGGAAAATCACTCACTGGCAGACAGTTTCAGTAACAAGGAATTTTTATTGAAAATGGCTTACCTCACAGATATATTTGAGAAACTAAATATTCTCAGCACTTCACTTCAGGGGAATGAGGCAACTGTATTTTCTTTGAATGACAAAGTGAAGGCATTCATGAGAAAATTAGAGCTCTGGAGAAACAGTATGGAAAGTGACACGCTAGACATGTTCCCTACTCTAGTGTCAATGGTACAAGACACTGATAATCCAGTGCTTCCAATGGACATAAAAAGCTGCCTACTTGATCATCTCATAATGTTGAAAGTTCATTTCGAAAAATACTTTTCCAATGGTTTTGACAAATTTAATTGGATTAAAAATCCATTCAAAAATGCTCCTGGGCCATAATCTCTGAAGGTAAATGAGCAAGAACAACTCATCGATCTCACAAGTGATACTTCATTAAAAAGTAAATTTAAGGAAATGTCTTTGCTGGAGTTCTGATACATATTGGCACGAATTCCAAACTTTGAGCCAAAAAGCATTGAAAATCCTGATTCCTTTCGCAATAACTTACTTATGCGAGACAGGCTTTTCTGCTTTGGCAGCTATAAAGTCAAAGTATCGTTCAAGGCTAAATATTGCTAAAGAAGTTAGAGTGGCCATTTCGGATATTACACCACGTTTTGATAAACTTTGTTCTCAAAAGCAGGCCCATCATTCAAACTGAACTTTGACATTTAAATGTTTGATTTTCTTTGCAGAAAAGATTAAACACTTGTTAGTTAAATATCGTTTCATTTCAATACACATTTTGGGTAATTGCAAGTGTTAAAACTAATTTATATTGTAGGCCTAATATTGTGATGTACTTTAATTTTGAGTAAAAAAACTGCTAAATAGTATGTAGAAAAACACAAAATAAACTGAATAAAACGTCAAACATACCATGACTTCTATTTTGATAAAAAAAAAACAAGCTGGTGGGTCCTCAGAGTATTTTCTCTTGTCAGGGGGGGCTCAAAGGTAAAAAGTTTGATAACCACTGATCTAGACCAATTGCATCACTGTGGAAGTTGCAGAATTTGGGCCAGTAACAACACAATTCACTTCAAACAGCAAAAGTGAGGTAGTGGTTAGCCTCTTTCACTGTCTTCCACACATGCTGGGCAGCAGTTATGTTAATCAGCCACCCATTCTGCGGAGGAGGAGGAGGTTGAAGAAAGGTGGGTTTACCATCCTTGAGGAAGATCCAACTCTTTATCCCAATACTTGCCATTTCCCAGTGCTCTATATTGCGACTGTTATCGCTCAGTGGGCAACACAGTGTTTTCTTAGGGTCAAAAGGCATTCCACCATTTACACTCTCAAAGAGTTTGTCAGTCTCCTCAATAAATGCTGCTGTTGCCAGGTATTTACTGCAGCACCCTCCTCAATGAAAAGAAAAATGCAAAATTAGTGTGCTTCCCTACATGGTGGATTACCATAAATCTTCGCATTGGGAAATAACACATATTACTTTACAACACACTGCCTCTATAAACAATCTGTACACTTGTTCCTTTATTCCTCATAGTAAAGCTTTTACCACCTCATTCTCTCATAAATATTATTATTGAAAGCATGTTCAGCTTTTCAAACACTTTTTAATTATCCTAAAACATTAGTATTTGTGACATATTCTACATGACCTGTATATTGATATAGTTTCAGTAGTAATTGTTTATTAATTAATAATTACTATATAAGTCAGTAATAATAATAATAATTCAGTAGTAGTTGTTTTCACACAAGATGGCGGCCATCGATGTAGTCGTTGATTGTGTCTCTCGATATTTGGATCAAAATACTGGTGAAAGTGAATTAAATTGTTGTGCAAATTGTAATAAATTGAATGACTATTTAAAAATGGTTACAATGGAGTTAAAATCAGCACAGCAAGTAATCAAGATTTTGCAAGAGGAAAGAGTGTCAGTTGACGTTCATAACCCCAAAATTCAATATAACGTATTGTCAAAGACGGGTCAGGACATCGAAGCATACCGTATGAAGTTGGGAATGAAAAATGTAAAAAATGTAAATATAAATAGTGATAATTCAAAAAGGGTGAAACATAAAATAAGAATACTAGGTGATAGCCATGCACGTGGACTGGCAACTGAGTTGAAGCATAGGTTAAATCAAGAATTTGAGATACAAGGGGTAATAAAACC